CAACAACAAATTGGAGTCCTCTTTGCTTACTGCTGAAAGACTGCTTAGATTTGATTGAATATCTGCAAGAGGATTTTATACTGAAACACTTTCAAAATATACTCAAGTTCCATCATTCAACTTTATGTATCGAATGCTATTTCGGGAGGAAAAAGCTTTACAATATGTATTTTTTAATTCCTAAAAACAAAGGCCAAAAATCCAATTTTGTTAATAAACTTTGAAAAAGGAATAAACCTCTTTCCTTTAGACACAATAACCTTCCTTTAATACAAATATCTTTTATTTCTTTAAATAAAATACTCATCCTCCCATGAGCTAAAGAAAGGCAACAGTAGTAAAAACCTGTGTAAGAGACTTATTTTATTTATTTTTAAGAGATTTTTGCTAAATGTGCACTTTTTAAAGAGATTTTTGCTATATGTGATTTTTTTGCTATAATTTTGCTCTATGTGCACTTTTTAAAAGAGATTTTTTGCTATATATGCGCTCACTAGAGAGATAGAGAGACAGAAAGTAAGAAATCACTCCCCCTCCCTTCTCCATTCTCCTCTCGGGATTTTGGGCATACATGCACACTTGCTGGGCATGAGATTCAAGCCACTGGGTCCAGGATTTGAACAGTGATTGGCCATACGGAGTCCAGCGATGTAACCATTATACCATTTGCTGGTTTCATAAGAGACTTATTTAAATGAAAGTTCTTCATGATTCTGAATGTATTTCAGGGTCTTACATAAAACTTCCAAACGATGTAGATAAATTTAATTCCAATCCAAGAAACACGTAATTACAGTAAACATTCAAAAAGTAGTACATACAGAGCAAAAGTAGGGAGACTGTACATACTCAACAAGTTTTGTTTTTAGGGTCTTTCTTTCTTTTATTTATTTTTTCTGTGTGCAATTCCCAGAAAGAGCTAGGGAGAGGGAAAGTGAGAAATCCCTCCCCCACAAAGGGATGGTCAAACCACAAACCCTTCTCCTCCATTCTCCTCTTGGGATTTTGGGTATGCATGCACATGCATCTGCATGTTTTCAAGCCACCAGGCCTGAGACCCGAATGGTTGAGTTGGCCACATGAGATCCAGCTGCTTAATCACCACATCACCAACTGGCCCAACAAGTTTCTGCCTTTAAGCTTAGTTATTTATTTCCTCTGTGAGTGAGAGAGGCGGAGAGTACCCCAAAAGGATCCTGATACCATGTTTCACACCTGCCCCATCCTGCTCTAGATCACGGGCACGCACACACCTGGTGCACTCAGGAAGGTCTCTGAGCACAAACCTTGCCCTGAGGGTCAACCCTGCAAAGCATCATACTTTACCACAATGCCACCATCTGGTCCCAAGTTATTTTTAAAATTTATTTATTTCCTTTGAGGGGAAGCACCCCAACACGGGCTTGACACTGCAAATACACTCCCGTTTCAGCCAGCCCGGATTATGGGTGCACATGCCCAGCATGCACAGGGAGGTAGGTCCCAGGACACAAAGCCATGACCTTCCCACGTGGGTCCAGGTCCATTACTGCTATAGCACCTGCTGGCCTCTGACAAGTTTTTATATTTTTAAAATGTTAAATGTGTGCCCAGCTGTGCACAGTAGTAGTGCAACGCTCTGCAATGCTGGAGGCTACATGCTTCCCAGCTTGACCTGTACATGCCAGCCACGTGGATGTATGCCTGTCACCCTGCCTGGAAAAGGTCAAAGCAAGGTGTGGGACCCTGCTGAGGGGGGTCCTCTCTTTCTCTTTCCCGCAACTAATCTTTCTCACTCTCTCACATGAAATAAACAAATTTTTTTTTTTTTTTTTTTTTTAGATTTTTGCCATAGGGTGCTTGCACTCGACAGAAGAAAACAGACAAGGAAAAGGAGAAATCACCCCTGAGGACGGATGACCACTCCATGATCCTTCTCCATTCTCCTGAAATTTGGGGCACATATGCACATGCATCTGGCATGATTTTCAAGCCACCAGATCTAGGGCTTGAAACAGTTGGCCATGGGGGACTTCAGCACTTTAACGACCACACCACCTGCTGGCTCCAATAAATGTTTTTCAAAAGAGGAATATTTCCACAAAGTCAAGAAAGACTTTAAGCTTTGCTTTTTTTGTTTTTTGCCACAAGATGTGTGTATTCACCAGAGAAAGACAGACCAATGGGGTGTGGTCACACTGCAATCTCTTCTAAATCCTCTCAGGATTGTGGGCATGCAGGCGTACATACCTGGCATGTTTTTCAGCCAGGTCCAGGATTATAACTACAAGATCAGCCAAGTGGGATCCAGCTACCTTAATCACAAGTCCACAGGGCCAACTCATGCAAAACTTTAATTTTTTTTTTTAAGAGTGATTTTTGCTATAGGGCACATGTGTGTGCTGAAGAGACAAAGAGAGAGAAAATGAGAAATCACCCCACGGGGGGATGGCCACGCGGCAACCCTTCTCCTCCATTCTCCTCTCAGGATCTTGGGCGCGCGCGCACACACACACACACACACACACACACACACACCCCTGACATGAGTTTTAAGTCGCCAGGCCCAGGACTTGAACCGTGGTCTATACCTGTGAGTCCAACAATGTAACCATTACACCATCTGTTGGTCCAAGACTTTTTATTTTTTAAAAAATCAGAGGACACATGCAGTAGACAGAGAGAGAGAGAAAGAGAGGAAAAGTGAGAAGGCACAGCCCCCGGGGGATCATCACACTTCAATCCCTTCTCCATTTCTCCTTTCAGGATTTTGGGCATGCACATGCACACATGTGCCCAGCATGTTTCTCAGGCTACTGGGTCTGGGATTTAAACTGTATGATTTGGCATGCAGGATCCAGCTGCCTTAACTATCAAGCCACCAGGTGGCCCAAGCACTTTTAATAATGCTACATTTTATATCTCTCTAAGAAAACAACAACAACAAAGAAATCACTACAAATATACCTAGAAGATAAAACCATACAGCAGGGCCCATGCTAGGAATAGTTTTTGTGTATATATATATATATATTAGGTTCTTAGGAAAGGCATGACTTTTTCTATGCAAAAATGCACCATGACTTTTCCAACAGGCCAGTATTTTTCACCATAGAATATGTATGCTCACTGGAAAGAGAGAAAAAAATTCAGCCCCCAGGGGAGATGACCATGTCATAACCATTTTTCCTCCATTCTTCTCTCAGGATTTTTTGGGCCCACATGCATAAGTGCCTGCTGTGATTCCAATGAAATACTGATACATGCCATAACATGAATAACCCTTGAAAAATGCTAAGTAAAAAATGCCAGATACAAAATACCACATATTGTAGAGTACCATTATATGAAACAGCCAAATGGTCAGCACCCTGGCCAGCCTAGTGGTTAAGGAAGCCAGATCCCTCAAAGTCAACAGCAGTTTGAATCCCAGACCCAGTGGCTTGAAAAATACAACAGGCATGTGTGTATGTGTGAGACCAAAATTCAGACAATGTGGAGAGGTGGAGGAGAAGGGACGGCAGTGTGACCATGCCCCACAGAGAGGTATTTATTCCCTCTCCATCTCTCTGGTGAACCCATATGCCCTCTGGCAAATTAAAAAACCAAAAATAATAAAAATAACCAGAACTGACAAATGCAGAGAGAGACAGAGATTTCATGGATGCCAGAGCTAGGAGGGGAGGACGGTGGAGTGTTATTGCTAAGGACTATGGAGTTTCTTATAGGGAGATGAAAATGTTCTGGAATTAGACAGCAGAGATGATTGTACAATTTGGTGAATATAATAAAAACAACTAAACTGCACACTTTAAAAGAGTAAGTTGTATGGTAATTGAACTCTGAATCAAAACCAATAAAAAAAGACTAGGCATACACACACACACACACACACACACACACACAGATACACACTAATGTGTCAACATTCATAGCCCTCAAAACACTGCTTATTGGGACCAGCAGTTAGCGTAATGGCTATGTCGCTGGACTCCCACATAGTTGACCGTGGTTCGAGTCCCGAACCTGGTGGCTTAAACTCACGCCGGGCACGTGTGCATGTGTGCCCAAGATCCCGAGAGGAGAACGGAGGAGAAGGGATTGCGGCGTGGCCATCCCCCCTGGGGGATGATTTCTCGCTTTCTGTCTCTCTGTCTCTCTCTATCTGTCTGGCAAGCGCACGCGCCCTATAGCAAAAACCTCTCCAAAAAAAAAAAAAAAAAAAAAAACACTGCTTATTAAAAAAAAGCAATCTGCAAAACCATGAATATACCATTTGTATTTTCTATAAAGTCATATATTCAATGAGGATACAGAAACTTTAGCATTATCTATAGTGCTTATTTTTTAAAAAAGATTATTTATTTATTTAAATTTGCTAAATGTGTGCTCAGAGAGAGAGGCAGAGAAAGAGGGGGGAAGTGAGAAAGCAAGCCTCCAGGTCTGAAATTTGAACTGCAGTCAGCCATGTGGGAGTTTGGTGTCCCAAACACTGTGCTACCTGCTGCCCCTCCCCCATTTTTTTTGGTTTTTAAAGGTTTTTGCCACAGGGCATATGTACTCTCCAGAGACAGAGACAGTGAGCAGGGAAAGTGAGAAAACACCCTCCCCAGAGGTTATGGCCACACTGCAAGCCCTTCTCCATTTTCTTCCTGGGACCGTGGGCATACACATACATGCACCTGGCATGAGTTTCAAGCCAACGGATCTGAGACTTGAACCACGGTTGGCCATGTGGAAGTTCAGCACCTTAATCACCAGGCTACCTGCTGGCCCCCATCTACAGAATCTTAATCTGTAGGGCAGGGGCCTGGGAACAGTAACAGTAATAGTAAACTTCAGTGAAGAATAAAACCTGGCAACTTTTTAAAATGCTGTCTCTGTGGCACAGTAGTAAAATGCTGCTCCAGAAGAGCAGGGTCCCAATGGTGACTGCAGTTCGAATCCACGGTCCGATCAGCTTGAACTTCATTGGGCATGTGTGTTAGCACTCTAGATCTGATGGGAGGAAGATGATGGCATGAGCAGACCCTGTAGAGGGTACTCATCTGCCCTACCCCATCTCTCTCTTCCTCTCTGTTTCTCTCAATTTCCTGTGGGCAAGCATGTACTCTATCATACATACATTTAAAAAAAAATGTTTCAATATGTGTTAAAGAAACAACCACTGCATTAAAGAAAATTAGCTTTAATCCCAGGAGGAGCTAGTGTACCCCTAAAGACTTTCCAGTTGGTAGAAATGTATGAGACAGAAACTTCTGCACAGCAAATCTTCACTGGTATGTAACCCAGAAGGAGTTCATTAAACTTGCTAAGTCTCAGTTTCTTCATTTATAAAAATGAGGATATTCTTTGTCCCAACAATAAGGCTGCAAGAATAGTTACATATAATATGTTTGCATTTATTTATTTTACCTATCCCCACCCCTCATCATTTCTGCTATAGGGCACATGCCCCTGCTGGAGACAGAGCAAGAGCAAAAGCGAGAAAGATGAAAAGTGAAAATCACTCCCTGCGGGGATGATCATGCCACCATCCCTTCTCCTCCACTCTCCTCTCAGGATTTTGCACATGCATGTACATGCACTAGGCATGTTTTTCCAGCTGCAGGGTCTGGGACTTGAACCTTGGCTGTGTGGGATTTAGCACCTAAACCATCACACCACCTGCTGGCTCCTATTTATTTATTTTTAATTTTAGAACTTATTAAAGAGTATAGAGAACCAGCAGTTAGCGTAATGGCTATGTCGCTGGACTCCCATGTAGTCGACCGCGGTTCGTGTCCCGGACCCGGTGGCTTAAAACTCACGCCGGGCGCGTGTGCGTGCGTGCCCAAGATCCCGAGAGGAGAATGGAGGAGAAGGGATTGCAGCGTGACCATCCCCCCTGGGGGGTGATTTCTCTCTTTCTGTCTCTATGTCTCTCTCTGTCTGTCTGGCGAGCGCACGCGCCCTACAGTGAAAATCTCTCCAAAAAAAAAAAAAAAAAAAAAAAAAAGAAAAGATGGCAGAGTAAAGACATTTCTACCCTGTTCTTTGAAACCAACTTAAAACTAAAACACAGAAAAAGCAACAGAAATTTATTTCTTTTATTCATGACAGAGACTGTACGTACACACATGTATGTGTAAGAGAGAAAGAGAAAAGCACTCACAACAGGGTCTTGTCACTCAGGATCCCCTTTCTCCAGCCCTCTGCTTGCTGGATCCTGGGCACACATGTGTTCCTGCCATATTTTCATGCTGACCAAGGATCTGAACACATGGCTGTCATGTAGGTTCTGGTATCGTAGTTCAATATGCTACCAACGGCGCCACCAGGCTGGGCCTTGCGTCAAATTTGTTTAGAAAGTCTTACCATCCGATTCTACTACCTTCATTTTATGTTGTGATCCAAATTAAATTTTGTTCAATGAATTCTTCTCTTTTGCCTTTTTGGCAAAACCATGTAGAGAACTAAGAAGCCAGTTATGGAATGAAACTATTTTAGACCCTTTCTGGCCCAGCTAGGATGGCACAGACAAGAGGTGCTGCTTGCAATGCTGAAGTCATGTGGGAGGGACCCAAGTTCAGTTCCCAACTCAACCTGAACATGTCAGCACACCTAGATCCTGGATAACTAGAAGGCTGGGTGGCTATCGTGGCATGACAAGACCCTGGCAGGGTTTCTTATATCTCACAGAGCTCTACATAGTACTTTTTCAGAGTAGCCAATTAATATTACTGGTAAATGTGACACTGTATTTAAAGTCTCCAAATCGAAGTTAGAATATAGAGAATCCTCTCCAGCCAATCATCAGCAACTGAAAATTATACCAAACCCAAACATCCGCCTCTATATAGCTGAACTGTACAAGAAGGCTGATATGGTAGTGCAATAGAATTTATTCTTGAGTCAGTATCATTCACTCTAAACTGTATAAACATTGAGTTATTTGATTTATTAAAGAAAATATCTGAGGCCAGTTGGTGGTGTGGTGGCTAAGGCAGCTGGATCCCACAGGACTGACAGCACAGTTCAGACCCTGAACCCAGCAGCTTGGAAAACACATGGGGCACGTGTGCATGTATGCTAAAATGGAGGAGAAGGGACTGTGACATTGCCATCCCCTCCTGGGGGTGTTGTCTCTCTCTCTCTCTCCCTCTCTACCTCTTTCTACCTCTCCAGTGAGCACAGTGCTCTACAGTAAGTAAGTAAATCAATAAAAAACAATAGTAGTTATCTTTGTATTTCAGATAGTTACTGACACTGACAGCAAAAACAAGACAGTCGATTTCTTCTTCCTTTCAGGGTGTAAATCATTAATAGTTATCAGACACTTCCTAGAATTGAGAGCTTACCTCCTCTGCTAAGTACTCAGAGAAATGACCTCACTACTTGAAATGACTGACTTTCTCAGTCCCGTGAGATGCTCAACAGGCACTTGAGGAATGTAGTAATAAATGTAGAACTAATTCTCCTATAACCCAATGAGCACACACTGAAAACTCACAAAATCTAAATTTGAAATAAACACACATAAGCAAAATAAAGAAGCAAATAAACACAGTGCAAACCATTACCAGTCTTGAGGATTTTTAGTATCTGGTGAATGTAAGAGAGAATCACGTAAGCTCCAGAAGAAAAATAAAACTCTGCTCTGTAATGTATGCATTTCTCTACATTTAATGATATATATAAAAGGCAGGGGAACGAAGGGCTCTACAAGAATTAATACTTACACACGAAAGTCTCTACATGTGTGCACAAGTCGCCACATTTAGGACAGCGCAGCTGGTTCCCACCTTTCCCAGAATTCCCAGAGCCTGATTTCTTAACATTTCCCTCACTTGCTGATTTCTAATGTTTGTGAAAGAGAAAAAGAATATCAATTATTAGTTTCAGGTGATATTTTATATGTAACTTAATTGTAAATAATACAGTTTATAATTAATCTTGTAACTTTTACAACTTCTAGAATGAAATTATTAGTATAGTTTATATCTCTGTCATTCATATCAAAAGATCTATTTGCCACAAAGAATCAAGTTGATTCTAGTGAGCACACAGACATTTCTGTAATGCTGGCACATTACCTGTGCCAGCAGGTACAATACATACCTTTCTTTCAATGATTCAATAAGCAGGAGGGGAAAAAAGGTTATTATGGTTAAAAAAAATACATTTCAACAAAATTGAATCAGGAATTATCATCAAAGCAGGTAGTGACTCTTAACTTTCTTAGATCTAATTGTTCTCATGTCAAAATGGGAATAATTTCACTTATTTTGGAGAGTGATAAAGACTAAAGGTGGATATGAAAGTGCCTAGTATTTTGTCTAGCAGATAGATATTGCATTGTTGGAAAAGTCATGACGCATTTTTGCATAGAAGAACATGTGAAAATATGTCATGACTTTTCCAACAACTCAATATTAATAATACAAATGTTAGTGAAATTCATAGGAGAAGATTTGATAATAATTCATTGATTGAATATAATGACTAATTACCTACTTGCTAGCTATAGAGCATTTCAGCATTAATAGCAGAAATCCAAGATTTTTTAGGTAGAGGACTAAAGTGAGGCAGGGAGTGACAGGCATTCCTAATTCGATCCTACTGGCTTTGAGGATTACTTTGGATTGTCAGAAATTTTTATTACTGCTTACTAAGTGCAAAGCTTGTAATACCTTATGGCTCATACTGAAACATAAAATCAACTACATAAAATTCCTCAGATCATTTTATATATCGTAGTTCCTACAGAAAACATACACCAACGAGATACACAGTGCTCTTATAATATTTAATTGTTTAAAGGGGGAATATAAATAGGTGTAGAGGTGCCAACAAAAATAAAATACCTTATTTCCATCTCCAGATCCATCTTTACTTATCCCGTCTTTTGAGGCAAAGTATGCTGGTGTTTCTGTAAAGGTCCTAAGAGGAGCTCTTCGCAGAATCTGAGTTTCAAAGGTCCCAAGCCTTCCTAAAACTGGTATATGGATGCGACCACAAGAAATTCCTGAAAATAAAATAAAATCTATTCATCTACACATGAAATACTGACAGGTCTCAATAAATTCATTGGGAACAAAAATCCTGAGCATAAAGGAGGTTAAAAAAAAAATAGCTAGTTTTGAGCTGGCTCTATAGCACAGAGGTTAAGATACTTTGCAGAAGTAGCCAGATTCCACATAGCCAAACAGGGTTCAAATCCCAACCCATCAACTTCACGCCAGGCTCAAACTAACATGTGTGCCTAGGATCCTGACATGTGAGAGAACTGGAAATAAACTGCAGTGTGATCAAGTCTATTGGGGGGTGCTTTCTCTCCTGTATATACATGTGCTCTCTATGATGAATAAAAGAATATACTTTAAAAAAAAAAAAGAATTCAGGTTAGCAAGTGGCATGGTAGTTAAGTTACTGGATCGCACATGGCCAACTGCGTGGTTTAAATCCTGAGCCTGACAGCTTGAAAAACATACTGAGCACATGTGCATTGTGCCTAAAATCCTAAAAGGAGGAACAGAGGAGAAGAGATTATGGTGTGGTCACCCCCCGGGCATGATTTCTTACTACCCCTCTCTTTAAAAAAGAAATTCAATATATGTTTTGTTTTGTTTTTTAAAGCTAGTTTTTACAGTAGCAGTACAGAGAAAATACTGACACCATCGGAGGCAGAGCCCTCTCAAAAACAGGCCAGGCCTAGGCCTTGGAAAAATTCCAGGTAAATAAAGATGTTTCTTTCTGATCTTGTCCTTTGGAGGTAAGGCAAAATAGGTCCTAACAATGTACGGCTCTTCCAAAGTTTGAGAATAGTTCAATATATGCCTCACCTGTATGGTTTTGAAAAAGACCACTATGTCTTATATTCTTATTCTCCTATTATTTCTACCAATGAGAATAAGCAGCTGAGAGACTGGTTTTATGGAGGTAGTATCTGTAAAAACAGAAACAAACTTCAAACATTCGGGGACCAGCAGGTGGTGTGGTGGGTAAGGTGCTGGACACTCCCACATGACTGACCACTATTCAAGTCCTGGATCTGGTGGCTTGCTTTCTCTCTCTCTCTCTCTCTCTCTCTCTCTCTCTCTCTCTCTCTCTCTCTCTCTCTCTCTCTCTCTCTCTCTCTGGTCAAATTAAAATAAAATAGACGAAAAAAAAAAAAAATTCTAAAAAAAAAAAATGCAAGCACTTCTCTTCTAAAAAAAAAAAAAGCTTCAAACATTCTTTAAAATATGGTGTGCTGTTCCACTTATATGAGGTACTTGGACAAAATCACCGAGACAACCAGAGATGGTGGTTGCTGGGAGGGGGGGAGAAATAAGAAGTTACTTTTTTTTTTTTAAAGAGAGGTTTTTGCTATAGAGCACATGTGCTCACTGAAGAGACAGAGAAAGAAAGCAAGAAATCACCCCTGCAGAGGGATGGCCATGCTGTAATCCCTTCTCCATTCTCCTCTCAGAATTTTGGGCATATTCGCATGCACACACAGCATGTTTTAAGCGATCGAGTCCGGGACTTGAACTGTGGTGAACTACTTGGGAGTCCAGTGATGTGACCATTACACCATCTGCTGCTCCCGAGAAGTTACTGTTTTAATAGCTATAAAGTTTCCGTTTTATGAGATGAAGAGTTATGGAGACAGATGGTGGTGATAGTGGCACAATATGAATGCACTTAGTACCATTCAATAGTACACTTAAAAATGGTTAAGATAATAAATTTTATGATTTTTTTTAAGGTTTTTGATACTTGGCGCATGCACTCACTAGAAAGAGAGAGAGAGAGGGAAAGTCCAAAATCACCCCCGGAGGGATGACCATGCCACAATCCCTTCTCCTCTCACAATTTTGGGCACACACGCACACATGCCCAGCATGATTTTCAATTCTCTGAGTCTGGGACTTGAACCGTGGGAATCCAGTACTTTAACCACTACGCCACCTGCTGGTCCCATGATATGTGTATTTTACTACAATAAAAGCTGGAGGAAAAAGTTATATACTGTTTATAAAATATATATTTTAATGAAATATTTCAATCCTACAGAAAAAAGAAACATAATTCAATAAAACCCACATAACCACCATTCTGCTTTCAAATATTTTAACCTTTTGCCATACTTGACATTAACATTCTTAAAAGGGATGTATGTTAATAACTAACTTCCATAGACTAGGTCAGGAGTTGGCAACTTTCCTGTAAAGGACCAGGACAGCTTTGTGGACCATGTAGTCTCAAGTCCCAACTACTCTGTTATTGTAACAGGAAAGCAAACACAATATGCAAATGAATGGGTATAGACAGATTTGGTCTTCTGATTTTTCTCATAAAAGTCCAAACTAGGGCCGGCAGGTGGCATGGTAGTTAAGGGTGCTGGATTCCCACATGACTGACCATGGTTCGAGTCCTAGACCTGGTGGTTTGCTTTCTTTCTCTTTCTCTCTCTCATGCTCTGTCCCTCTCTGGTCAAATTCAAATACATAAATATACAAATAAATAAATAAATAAAGTTAAATAAAAAATAATTCTTAAAAATAAATGTCCAAACTAAATTTCAAAATTAGTCAATGGCAAAAGAGCCTATTGGATACTGTAGCACCCCATTTCCCAGCTGGTCTCTTTCTTTTTTTCCTTTATTTCTTACTATAGGGCACATTCACTATTAAGAGATAGAGAAAGTAAGAAATCAACCTCCCACAAGGGGAGATGGTCACTACGCAATCCTTCCTCCTCCAGTTTTCTCTTGGGATTTTAGGCGTACATGCACATGTGCCTGGCATGATTTCAAGGTGTCGCACAGCCATGCGGGATCTACTCCTTAACCTCCACATCATCTGCCCGCCCACTTAGCTGGTCTTTCAGAGTATTCTGTGCATAAGAAAATGGAATGATTCTAGGTTAAACAAAATTCCGCAGGTTTCATTACTGCGGGGCACTGAAAACCTTGCATAAACTAACAGGTATTAATGAGTTGCTAGGAAAGAAGTTTCCCATTAGTTTTCCACAGTAATGCTAAGAGGTAATTGAAGGGAGTGGGGCACAGAAGGGGAAAGTTAGTTAATACTTAAACCTAAGAAATTTCGCCTCCCTCATCTTATTTTCTGCAAAATTCTCAACTTAGCCTTTCAATTTTTATTTTTACAATTGTTAAAGCTTTTAAGAGACATATATACACAAGGGGCTCTTCAAAAAGTACACAGAAAATGTGAACTATGCAAAAAACTATGCATGGATTTAAAATCTTTTGCACAAGCATAAACACCCTTTAATTCCATTTTCATGAACTAGCTTTCTCTGCACAGCTCCTAATCACTGCACCACAAAGCCAGTTTCTATTCTCCTTTAGTAAAAATACAATTAAGATCTTACAGTTCTTTGAATAACTACTAGAACTTCCAAGTAGTATAAAGTATAAATATATTAATTAATGTCATATGAAAATATTTGTGATTCTGAATGATGACAAACTCACAGATACTTAGAAGACAACTATGATTTGTTACTTATTTTCATAATTAAAGAAAACACTACATTTCATTTGGATGTCAGTAAAAATGAAGTTCATAGAACTTCTGAATTCTATTCATGGACTTCCTGGAGCCTGTGAATCTCAGGTGAAGAACCCCTGAAAGCCAAGAAAAGGGGGAAGTATTTCTGTAAAGCTTATTTCACAAGACTATTTGGCAGCAATGACAAAAGACTGTTAAAAGTTAAGCTATTTACAAAACTTCTCTCATTCAGGTAAAGATTTCAGAGCAGTCATCTTTTTTTTTTAATATTTAAATAATGTATACCCATTTAGGGGCTGCCAAGAACTATGAGAGTAATTTATTCAGCTTTCAGATACAAAGGAGTTCAAAAAGTTAGTGCAGAAATGGAACTGAAGTATAAGTTTACTTTGGTATAAAAAAATTTTGAAATCCATGCATGGTTTTTTCATGAACTTTCTGAACACCCCTTGTACATGACTTTCAATGCCATCGTGAACTAAGTAAGCACTCTTCAAAATGTAGGTGATTCAGCTTAAAAGACAAGCCAACCTATATTTTAGAGGGAAAGAATAAAAAATTTTAAAGTGTTACCTATTTTAGTGATAATATTTAAGAGTGTAACTAGCTGAGCTTGGCAGCTCACACCCTATGGCAACCCTATGGAAGCTGGATGATTGCAGCACTGAGTACTTCCCCCCGCAGGGCACACAATTTTTTGGGACTAGCAGTTGGAGTAATGGCTACATTGCTGGACTCCCATGTAGTTGACCATGGTTCGAGTCCTGGCTTAAACTTATGCTGTGCGCGAGCACATGAGCACCCAAGATCCCAAGAGGAGAATGGAAGAGAAGAGATCATGGTGTGACCATCCCCTCTGGGGGGTGATTTCTCACTTTCTGTCTCTCAGTTTCTCTCTCTTTCTGGCTAGTACACACACCCTATAGCAAAATCATCTCCAACAAAAAAAAAAGAAAAAGAGTGTAACTGATGAAATGGTTGTCTCTTGCTCTCGCTTGCTCACACAATAAATCAATTTTAAAAAATAATAATAGGGCTAGCCTTTTAGGGCAGTGTTTCAGCTGTTAGGAGTTAGGTGCTGTGCGGAGGAAGCTAGATCCCACATGTCCAACTGGTATTTGAACTGGGGCCTCAGTGGCTTAAAAAACACACATATGCCCAGGATCCTGACAGGGTGGAGAACTGAAGGAAAGGAGATTGTGGCATGACCAGGCCCTGTTAAAGGACTCACTTGCATTCTCTCTCTCTCTCTCACGTACTTGTGCCAGCTGGCATTAAAAAAAAAAAAAAAAAAAAAAAAAAAAAACTGGCATTTTATAACTATCAAATAAAACAAAAACTAGTTTAAAAAACGCACACACACACAAAAATAGCAGAGGTATGCCATACACAGCCTGACAGCTACATGCACTTGATCCCACATGGCCAACTGCATAGTTCAAGTACCAGACCTGGTAGCTTGAAAAACACCAGGTGCAAGTGTGTGCATGCCCAAACTTCCAAA